CTCTCTCTCAAATAAATAAAAACTTAAAAAAAAAAAGAAAACTATGAGTTACTACAAAGGACTTGTATAGCTTGGACAACGGTTAGGGATAAACTATCGTTAGTAATATAGCAAATTAAGTGATGAGATGAGACAATTATTAACTGCAGAATAAACAATCTGTTGTCTAAAAAGGGTAATGTAAGTATAGCACACCAAATGGTCTACCTGTAACATAGTCATAAAAGCAGAAATTCTGAATATTCATTTAACCATAGATCATAATTACGTTTTGATTCAACAAATGGTGCTGGAACAATTTCATATCCATGTGCGAAAGAAAATGAAGCTCAACGCTTACCTCACGCCATATAACTAGAAACAGAACACTGACCTAAATGTAAGAGTTGAAAAATAAAATTTCTAGAAAACACAGGAGAAAATTTTTGTGATCTCGGATCAGAAAAGACACAAGAGCTGGGAAAAAAATGCATAAGACATATATCCGATTATAGACTTTTATCCAAAAGATTTAAGAAAAAATCTGTAGAACATGTATCTGGTAAGAGACTTATAACCAGAATATATAATTCTTACAACTTTTTTTTGGGAAATCAACCCAATAAAGAAGTGGACAAAAATTTCGAATAGGGGCGCCTGGGTGGCTCAGTTGGTCAAGCATCTGCCTTAGGCTCAAGTCGTGATCCCAAGGTCCTGGGATCAAGCCCTGCATCAAGCTCCCAGCAGGGCCTGATTCTCCCTCTCCTGCTCCTGTGTGCTCTCTATCAAATAAATAAATAAAATCTCAAAAAATAAAAAGTTTCGAATAGACACTTCACCAAAGATACACAAATGGCAAATAAGCATACAAAAAGAAGTTCAACATCATTAGTCATCAGAGGAAATGCAAGTTAAGACCACATTGAGGGGCGCCTGGGTGGTGCAGTCAGTTAAGTGGCAAACGCTTGGTTATGCTTGGTTTCGGCTGGGGTCCTGGTCTCTGGGTCATGAGTCGAGACCCGGAGCCCGGTGTCAGGCTCCACATTCAGCACAGTCTGCTTAGAGTTTCTCCCTCATTCTCCCTCTACCCCACCTCCCTCTCTCTAAAATAAATAAATAAATTGGGGCGCCTGGGTGGCTCAGTGGGTTAAGCATCTGCCTTTGGCTCAGGTCATGATCCCGGGGTCCTGGGATCGAGCCCCACATCGGGCTCCCTGCTCAGGAGGGAACCTGTTTCTCCCTCTCCCTCTGCCTGCCGCTCCCCCTGCTGCCCTGCACGTGCTCTCTCTCGCTCTGTCAAATAAAGAAATAAAACCTTTGAAAAATCAATAAATCTTTTTTTTTTAAGACCACACTGAAATAGCACTACATACCTACTAGAAAGGCTAAAATTTAAAAGAATGGGTCAAGAAGCAACTGGAACTCTTGTATGCTACTGGTAAGAATACAAAATAGGGTGCCTGGGTGGCTCAGTCATTAAGCATCTGCCTTCAGCTCAGGTCATGATCCCGGGGTCCTGGGATCGAGCCCCACATCGGGATCCCTGATTTGCGGGGAGCCTGCTTCTCCCTCTCCTCCCCACTTGTTCTCTTTCACTATCTCTGTCTCTCTCTCTCTCTCAAATAAAATCTAAAAAGAAAATAAAAAAAAACAACAAAAAACCCCCAAAATAATATAGCCATTTTGTAAAACCAGTTTGGCAGTTTCAGCTAAAGTTAAACGTGCACACAAGACAAAACAATACCATATATATTTGCAAGGTACTAAGAGAAGAGATCTTAATCCTTCTCAACACAATAAAAAATGCTTAGAATTATGTGTGGTGATGGGTGTTGACTAACCTTACTGTGGTGATCATTTCACAATATACACAAATATCAAATCATTATGCTGTATGGATAGCTAAAGCTAATACAATGTTATAGGGCAATTTTATCTCAAAAAGAAGTTGAACACACACACTAATCTACCCCATCCCTGCTCTCAGAGATGGAACAGGAAGAATGATAAGAATTATCCCTTTGAAAAACAAGGAAAAAATTACAATATTCAAATTAACGTGCATTTTAAGTCTACTGTATAGTTTTTATTTGGTGATTATGCTCTGAAGAAAAGAATTTCTCTTCTCTGCAAAGCAATAAAAACATGCTGGATAAACAACTTTTATTTGGGAAATAGTAAGAGAGGTTCATGTCTGTTCAGATACCTGCACAAGTGACCTTTAAATTTAAGGGTGTGTGGCTGGCTCAGTTGGTAGAGCATATGGCTCTCGATCTCAGGGTTGTGAGTTTGAGCCCCACGTTGGGTGTAGAGATTACTTAAATAAATAAACTTGAAAAAATAATTTGATGCATCAGTGAAAATAACAAACTACAACTACACACAACAATCTGATTCTAATGGACACAGTGTTGAGCAGACTATATGATGCTAGGCGATGGCTAGATTGATGTGTGCTTGTGACAATTTATTGAGCTGTAGACTACGATCTGTGCCTTCTTCTGTATGTAAATTATATTTTAATACTTTTTTACAGTATCCCATATGATTCTATTTGTTAAGTTTCCCCCAAAAGGCAAAACCAAACTATTGCTTAGTAGTACATGCAAAGGTAGTAAAATATAAAAAGCCAGTCAATTACCTTTCGAATGCAGGAAAGGGTTTAAGATCAGGAGTGGGTGAGATTAGGGGCTCCTATCAGGGGACCTTGATTTACTGAACTAACAGGAAGTTCTATTTCTTGGCCTGAAGGGTGCTTACATAGCCTTTGCTTTAGAACTCTGCTAAACTGAACATTTAAGTTTTATGCACTTAGAAAAAAAATTAAGTAGATTCAACCCAATCTCAAAGTCTATCAATAGGGGACTATTTAAATTAATTATAATACAGTCATGGAATGTATTCTGTACCATTAAAAATGAGGCAACTAGGGGTGCCTGGGTGGCTCAGCTGGTTAAGCATCTGCCTTTGGCTCAGGTCACCATCTCCAGATCCTGGGATTGAGCCCTTCGTTGGGCTCCCTGCTCAGCGGGGAGTCTGCTTCTGCTTCTCCCTCTGCTCAACCCCCCACTTGTGCTCTCTCTCTCAAATAAATAAAATCTGTAAAACAGAAATGAGGCAACTATATGCTTATAAGGTCCTATATGCTTAAAAGGACCTGATGCCCAGATTGTGTCCTCAAATGACAAAAGCCATGCTAGAAATGAATCTGGTATGATTACACACACACACACACACACACACAGAATACCTCTACCTCTAGAAGAATAGACAAGAAATGAGGAGGAGACTGGGAACCAAATTTTGTATTATGTGCATTTGTTATCCTTCAAATAGAAAGGAAAATAACTAATTTTGGAAAATATTTGTTTATTGCACAGTTCTTTCCAGATTTTATGTCTAGGCTCACCTTTTATTGTCAAGTACTTTAGCAATGAACTGGCATTCAAATATGGCTGGCCAACCATGGCCACGTTGATTACACAAGGACTTTTCAGAGCTAATTTTTCTTAAGCACCTCTTAGGAACTTGGCACTGAGTTAGGCACTATAAAAACAAAGGTAAATGGGACAAAATCTAAGCCTTCGTGGAAGGGGAAGGCAGTGAGGAAAAGGAAGAGTGAGAAGGAAGAAGAGCAGGAAGCCATTTGGCACCATGGGGATTTTTCTTCCTGCAGCCATTTAGTCTTGGTCTTTGTCTTAAGACGGAATCAGGTCACAGTCCTTGTCATCAACCAGAAAACACATAGTTCACGAACGAATCCCACAGGTTTAATACTAGGCAACACGTTAAATACCTCAGTGGTAGAATCTTCATCTTTCTACACCTCTGAAGCTCTTTTATCCGTTACCCCTGTTGCTTCAGCTTCAGCTTCCCAGAAGGCAGAGGTGAGATCCTAGTAGGTGGGCTCTTCACATCTCTGCTGTTTGATAGGATTCAAGGACAATGTAACAGACACTGCAGTGGAGGTGCTGAGAGCCCCAAGTAATGTGGAGGGAGAAAAAGCAGAGGACATTTCCTGCCACAGACCAGACAAGTTTCCATTCCTCACTAGGGATGGGAGGACTGGAATGGAGGAGGACCCAAATTACTTGTGTGAGGAAGTCTTGCCTTCTGCTTGTCGCCATGGTTCCGATTTACCTGTGGTTATGTTTTGAAAACTCTTTCCCAAAGAAATTCTTTCAGCCATTTCCTAAAACAGTTTTTTTTGAATGGTTGTAAAAAATCTGGGTCATCTTTTTTTTTTCCTTCCAGTTTTATTGATATAATTAACATATAACATTGTATAAGTTTAAGATGTACAACGTAATGACCCGATATATGTATATACTGCCAAATTTTTACCACAATAAGCTAATGTCCATTGTTTCACATAGTTACAAACTTTTTCCCTTGTCATAAGAACATTTAAGATCTACTCTCTCAGCAACTTTCAAATATACAACACAATACTGTTAACCAGAGTCATGTTGTACATTACATCTCCAGAACTTAATTTATCTTAAAACTGGAAGTTTGTATCTTTTGACTGCCCTCACCAAATTCCCCCCCCACCCCTCCCACCTCCCACCTCTGGCAACCCCAATCTGATCTGTTTCTATGAGTTTGGGATTTTTTAGATTCCACGTGTAAGTGAGATCACACAGTATTTGTCTTTTTCTGTCTGACTTATTTCACTTAGTATAATGCCCTCAAAGTGCATCCATGTTGTAGCAAAGGTTAAGATATCCTCGCTTTTGTGAGGCTGAGTAATAGTCCATTGTCTATGTGTGTGTGTATGTGTGTGTGTATACACACACATACACACACACATACACACACACCATATTTTCTTTATCCATTCCTCTGTTGATGGACACTTAGGTAGTTTCCATTCTTTGGCTATTGTGAATGCTGCTGCAGTGACCATGGGAGTGCAGGTAGTCCTACTTCCAATTTTCTAAGGAACCTCCATACTATTTTCCAGAGTGTCTGCACTAAATTCCATTTCCGCTAATAGTGTACAAGGTTTTAGATTTGGATCATCTTAAAGGACAGAGGTTTAGAAGCATTTCACTGTTGTAGTGATCCAAACCCACGCCCCTCATTTCTTCATCAAAATCCCACTTGCGGCTCTTGCCTGCCAATGAGTATTGATGGTGGGGATGGGAGGTGTAGGTAAGGAGAAAGGGGTCTTCCTGAGGTGAGTGGCATGTGGTAGAAGGGTAGCAGCTGTTAAAATCCACATGCATCTTCTCTTCATAAAGATCACCCCCTGGGTTTGGCCATAAGGGGCGACAGCTACTTTCGGCCGCAGGTGGCTCCACTGGAATCTGCTGGGGAAAGGGTTCTGCAGAGTTCTGGGAAGGGGAGAAGTCGTAAGGCCAGCTGGTCAGAGGGAAAGGGTAACTGGGACAACAATTGTCATTAAGAGAATGTCTCCCCAAAGCAGTGTGTTTATTCCATGTTTGCTGATCATCGTAGTCAGAGAAGACTCCAGAAACAGGATGAAGCAGGTCCCCACTATTATAGATCCAACTACTGGACAGTTTGCATTTCTCATAGAGCTTAGTGTGGCCCAAGGTGGAAGTGTCTGCCAGATCAGTGGTTCCCCCCAAGCAATAGCTCTTGGAGAAGAATAAGCAATCATTCAGTGACTTCTGCTGGGGAGTGTTAGCTATTAAACGTCCACTGTAACTACCGGGCAATTGAACGCCTTCCTGGAAAGACCAAGTTAAAGGTAAACTTCCCCAACTTTGGGTTTCACCTGGAAGAGACTAGAAAGGAAAGCGAAAAGCTCACATTAATAAGTTAAGCAAATTGACACAACTACCACAGGCACCCAGAGTTACTCTGTACAAATAAGTGCTCTGATTTTCCTCATTCCTTACATACTTGAAGCACAAATGCACAGCACGGTTTCAGCACAAGCACTTAAAGCCTGAAAGAATCAAAGGTTGCGCCCATTTCCACTGTAAAGCCTACTAACCAGTAAGAGCTGAGTTACTCTTACCCCTTTGACTCTGAGCAGAGTGAGTGTGTTTAAAATGTTTCATCTTCAAACACAAATCTGATATGGTAACTGCCTTTGTAAGAAACTTGTAAGAAACTATTTAAGAAAAATCAAACTACAGCTTCAAAGATTTCTATTATATTCAGTTATAACTCTCAGTGGATCTCTGTTTTGCTCGCTCACTCAGTCTCTCATACACACACACACACACACACACACACACATACACACATCATTTTCTTTCTTGACTTTTCTATTTTTTAGCATTGTTTGCAGTCTGAGAGACTAGGGTTGTTGTTGTTTTTCTCCAGCTCATGGGGATTTTGTTGAATCATAAATAGGACCTCTAGGATATGAAGTAGTAAATTTATTTCTATAAATAAAGGAAGTGTATTACCTTCCAGTTATTCACAGGGAAAGAAGCTGGCTGAGAATTAAGTGATCTGCTTGTTTATGTAACAAGAGGGTGGGGGTAGAGAGACTATGACCAGGTAGAGTGAGTGGGAGGAAATGCCCTTCATTTTGTCCCAGGGCTGTGAGAAGGGATGAGGAACCAGCCATTTGGTTTCAGGGGCTCACATGTCCCTATTAACAGACCCAAATGACATTTTTTTTCTACATAAGACACTTTTAGAACCTCTAGGGATGAACTGGCTCCATCTCTGTCCTCATGAAATGCGGAGCACTGAGCAGTAGTAAAATACCGGAATTAGCATCACTATTAAGCAGACAAACCCACAAACCTATGGTATGATGCCCATAAAGCCATAAATTTCACATCACAGTTTGGCCTCTCCAACCCCCAACAATGCAGGTGTCCAATGTTTTCAGAAACTTCCTGGTTATTTCATCTTGGTAGAGTGTGCTTTATCTATTTAGGGGAAGAATGGAAATTTTGGAAAAAACATTTTAAGACACAAGGCTAATGTTTTGCGGAGACCATTTTAGGTTCATTTCTGAACCAAAATATAAAGTGCCAAATAGAGGTTAAGTACTAATCCAAGTCTCTCCTTGTAATTGTAGTAGGGAAGATGTTTCTAAAATTATACGGAATTTAAGAGCATTTGAGAGCATGCTACAAAGATGGTAGAAATTAAGAGGAAAACCCCAGATTCCATTTCTTTTCTCTGGGGGATGCTGCCTTGTAGATGAGCCAGATGGGATGATTTTGACCTCCTCTGTCGGTGGGGAAGGGACCAGGGACGTTTATTGCCCCCACCACAGGGGTGGTGAGTCGCCATATGTTTTGAACACACAGGACGACAGGTTACCTTTGTCTCTGGGCTCTCCTTCAGCTTTAAGGGGACAGAGGCAGATGCCGTGTGTACTTTCTTCATTGTTCTTCTCGCCTCGGCTTCCAGTTTGGTTTCTGGTTTTGGATGATCGTGCTCTCCCTTTGACTTACAGGAGACAAGGAGGTAAAATAAATAGCAAGATTGTACCTCACAGTGTGCTAAGTCTTACCCTGTGCCCTGCCCTGGGTGTTGCTATTGATGACTGGCACAAGACTGCATAAACCTCTTCGGCCCGTCATGTGCTTTTGTTCATGGTGCCCCTCGCCCACCTGGTGAAGTCATACTCACAACCATAAGAAGTGACACAAAGTGCTTCCTACGGTATGTGGAGGAGGCTGCAACAAACACATGATCTCCCGGACTCTTCGGCACCGCCATCAGTCATGCCACCATTATTACTGCCCCCGCTTCCACAGTAGGAAAATGAAGCATGGGGAGACTCCACCAGCCAGGCAACCTCCTCCCCCTGCCCCCGTTGAGTAAGTGGGGAGCCAGGATTCCAAGGATGCTGGAGCTAGCTGGCCAAGCTGAGAGCTAACTATAGGATATTCGGGAATTCTGGGAGCTGGCTGGTAGCTGGAAATGAGCCATGGAGGGAACTGTTGTTATCACAGATGCTGGCCCACCCTAGCAATCAGGACATTTTCTTTTTGGAGGGCTGGTTGACTAGCACACCACTGATTTAGACCCAGGCAGTCTGCCACCAGAGGCCACACTTTATCCTGTTTATACCACCGCCCCCTCAAGTACTTCTTCATATCCACGTCTCACGTAAAACTGGGGCTCAGGGGAGTCCAGTCACATGCTGAGGTTTACAGAGCTGGTGAGAGGTCAGAGCTGGTATTCAGCCTTGGGTTTGCTGAAGCCGACCAAATGCCGCAGCACTGCACTAGCCTGAGTGTGATCAGATTACTGACAGCTGCCTCCCCCAGGGAGCCCGAGGCGAGGTCGGCCAGCTCCCCTCCTGGGGCTCTAGTGCTTGGCGCCTCCGCAGAGGTGCAGGTGCAGATATTTGCTTGCCCAGAGCACGTCTCAGGGTTGGTACGTTCCCCTGTCCATCTCCTGTACGAAACGTCCCCCTGTGCTCTGTACACACTTCCTGAATTAAAGAGAAATGGCATCTCATAACTCTAACTCAAATCCAACCTGGAAGAATATGAAGCGTCCGTCGTGCCTCCAGAAGTTGGTGACTGGGAAGCCCCCATGGCCTCGGCAAGGAATTAGCTTCAGAGGCCCGTCACAGTTGGGACAGCGTTTCCCTATAAGAGAGCACAGGCAGGTGACCATGCCAACTGAGTCCTGGCAGTTTGCACCTGACTCCAGGATGGCAGAGAATGGACCTGGGCACAGCGCTATGGGCTCCCTTCCACCGGGCATTGCCTCTGACCTGAGGAGGCCTGGGCATCAACGCGACCCAGACCAGTCTCACACGGGGGTAGACGAAGTGGTCTCCTACAGAGTGGGTGATTTCACAGGTCAAAGGAGAGCTCTCCTGAGCAGAAAATCCCTCCCTCCGTATTTACTGAGACTTGAAATTCTTTGTAGAGAAGTGGACAGAATTCTTTCACTTCACAATTAGAATTAAGGGTCAAGGAGCCAAGTCACAGGAGAGAAAGTACGTAGCCCCTAAATTCTCATTAAGGTGTAAATGACCGAGCCCAGAGCCTTTCCTGAGAGCAAGTTTCAAGACGGCTTACAAGGAAAGAACAAGAAGTAACTTGAGGTCTGAAGTGAGCAAGGCATGGGGAATGCTGGTTGTATCTGTTTCACAATTCGATGAACGTGATAAAGAGAAACGAAATGAACGTGATTATGGTATGGACCTAAATGGCACGGAATGGAGTCTAATCTCAAACTTTGTCTCAATGCTCCCACTCCAGACCAAAGCATTCACTGAGCTCCGTGGGGGGCGGGGGGCATTCCACAAGATGTCCAGTGGCCAAGTGTGATCAACAACATTCTCCTAGGGGCGCCTGGGTGGCTCAGTCGTTAAGCGGCTGCCTTCGGCTCAGGTCATGATCCCAGCGTCCCGGGATCGAGCGCCGGCCGCATCGGGCTCCCTGCTCCGCGGGGAGTCTGCTTCTCCCTCTCCCTCTGCCCGCCACTCTGCTTACCTGTGCTTTCTGTCAAATAAATAAATAAAATCTTCAAAAACAAAACAATCCAACGTTCTCCTAGACCTTGTGGGTACACTGAGGAACTAATATGAGTCCCCTAAGTGACCCATCTGCTTTTGAACGGAGGCCCTGAGTCAGGTGCCTTAACCCAAGGGAGCAGTTTTGTTGGTGGGTGCCCTGGGCCTGGGGGAACCACAGGGCAGATGCTGGGGGGTGAGGAGGCTGACCCTACTCACTCTGCTGCTTCTGCCGGGCTTTGTCACAGATGGCAGGTCGCAGGTAGATCTTCCGCCCCTCCTCGGCGGAGCAGTCCCGGCTGCACACCACCACGCCCAGACAGGACTTCTTGAGGATGCGTGAGTTGTGGTTGTTGGTGTTGCGCATGGCCCAGCTGCTCAGATGCCGCTGCGCATTCCTGTCCTCTGAGCTGTAGATGTGCTTCTCATAGGAATCTGGCCATTCCTGGAACCAGTCGGTCTTTTTCACATTCTGATAGAAACACAAAGAATATCGTTATAATTTAAGCGAGAAAACACACCTGTGGGGTGCCTGGGCGGCTCAGTGGATTAAGCGTCTGCCTTCGGCCCTTCGGCTCAGGTCACGATCGCAGGGTCCTGGGCTCGAGCCCCGCGTTGGGCTCCCTGCTCAGTGGGGAGCCTGCTTCTCCCTCTCCTACTCCCCCCTCTCGTGCTCTCGTGCTCTCTCGCTCTCTCTCTCAAATAAATAAATACAATCTTAAAAAATAAAAACAATACAACTGTTCATAGATGTGAAGCTTGCTTTAGCACCCAAGAGCTATGCAGACCTTTGGCAAAAGACCAACCAGGGTTTCATTCCAGCAGCGGGATCTGAGCGCTGAGTAAGAGGACTGCTGAGTCTATGGCACGTTTGCTCCCCGGACCAAGATGAGTTGTCATTCAGTGCCCCCCCTTCCCCTGAGTTCTACCCCACTGATGTTTCTCTAGCCCTTGGTGAGAAGACTTACTGACCATTTCTCACAAAGAATTTTTGAGGGTGAAGTAATATGATTGTGCTCTTACACAGTCACAGTGGAAAACACTGTGGCAGGGTAGTGAGATAATGTCTCATACCACACCGTCGTTACCCTACTGGGAAGGCGAAGGGTTTATGCAGTCACCGGAGCTGAGCAGTGGGAAAACTGGAGACCCCAGGTTTGGGAGGGTTCTGACAGCCACTTTCTCCCCTGGGGAGATCTTCTTCCTTTTTCTCTACTTCTAGATCCATGGGCCTCCAACAAGGCAGGGGGAAGGAAGAGTTTACTTTGGCTGGAAAGTTCTATGTTCTTGCCTAGCCCTCGCACTATTCCCTGTGTGTGAACATCTAAGCTCTCCTTAAAAAGATCATCAGTACAATCAATCCTTTGTTGTTGGGCTTTCTGTGCTTCTGTTTCTTCATCTGTAGAATAGGGATAATGAGAACCAAGTGTGGTTCTGAGAATATGATAATATATAAAAAATACTTAGCACAGCACCTAGCATGGAATAAGCTCTCAATAGATGTTAGTCACTGATGTTGAGGCTCACGTTCCTTAGGCCCTTTGGTGTACAGATCCTGCATTTGACAGTTCCTGCTTCATTCTCAAGAATGACAATCATTAAGTAGTCTCCATACTCAGACTTAGGTTGTGTCCACCCCCACAGCCTCTAGAGACCAGGCATCATAGAAGAACATTTTTCATCAAAAAGATTCTAGAAGGTCAGAGAGAAGATTCTAGAAGGTCCAGAAGGAGAGATCAGGGTGCTTTCCTTTTGATTCCCCAACAAGAAAGCCAGGCACAGAATACTGGGGGGAGGGAGACAATCTAGAAGGAAAAGAGAAAACATCAACATCAGGATGGAAGGGCAGCATGGGGAAGTTGGTGTTTATTGAATTAGATTTCAAGTTTAAAACGTGCCAAAGAACTTTTAACATGAGACTCTGGGCAGGTGACTGTCTCTGAAGCCTCATTTTGCTCTTTTCCAAAACGGACATAGTAATAAAATATTCTTCAAAAAAGTACCACGAAGAGCAGATGTGTTGTAAATTCTAAGTCTGATATAATGATAGTTGCCATTTGAATGGCATGTTGTGGGAACTGAGGTGGATCTGAGGAACCATAAGTGAGGTAGAGGTAGTGCTACTTAACAGTTAAGAGCTGGGGTCTGCAACGTAGGGCCCATGGGTCAAATCCAGCCCGCCTTTTTTTTTTTTTTTGGTAAATAAAGTTTTATTAGAACACAGCCATGCTCATTCATTTAAGTGTTGTCTATGCATACTTTACACTACTACAGCAGAGCCGAGTCATTGTAGCTGAGACTGGATGGCCCATAACACTGAAAATATTGACTATCTGGTAAGATTCATCTCAGGCAGCCCCCTTCCTGCTTCCCTCCCCCCCCCACCTTTTCTATTCTTTTCCTTCTGACCTAAGGCTCTAAACAATGCCCTCTTGTTTTTTGTGGTCACAGAAAGGTCATGGGAAGCATAATATTTTATCTTCTGAAAAAAGAAAAATGCAGGTTAAAACGCTAAAACGTGGACCTTTAACAATTTGGATTGTAAAAACTGCCTGGTGCATTTAAAGAACTCAAACACAAAGCACAGCCGCCTGCGTAGCAGAGACAAGGGCAACAGACTTGAAGAAAAGTGGAGATTTTCATTTTCAAGGTGAGGGGGCCCTGCAGGCTGGTCAGTGCCATCAATCCCACGAACCAGGAGGTGGGGAAGGTGTATGTGAGTGTCTCAGATGTTCAGAGGAAGAAATTATCTCCACCGTCTTTTTTTCCCCCAGTTTTCTCTCAGTTTTATGTATTATTTTGATCTCCCTTTGAAGCTTCCTCTTTGACTTATGGATTATTTACAAATATATTGTTTAGTTTCCATGTATTTGCAGATTTTCCTATTGCCTTTCACCATTAATTTCTAGTTTGGTTCCACTATAGTTGGAGAACACTGTATTTTCAATTATTTTAACATTGTTGAGGTTTGTTTTAGGGCTTACAGTATTTTCTTTTCTTTTTAAGAAATATTTTATTTATTTATTTTTTAAGTAGGCTCCACACCCAATGTGGGGCTTGGACTCACAACCCTGAGATTAAGAGTCACATTCTCAATCTACTAAACCAGCCAGGTGCCCCAGGGTTTATAATATTTTCTACATTTGACTGTCTTTTTTTTTTCTTCTTTATTTGTTTTTTGTTTTGTTTTGTTTTAGTAGCCTCTATACCAGTGTGGGGCTTGAACCCGAGATCCCTAGATCAAGAGTCACATGCTCTTCTGACTGAGCCAGCCAGGTGTCCCTACATTTGACCATCTTTTAAGCCTTTTTTTTTTTTTCCCCCAGCAGCCTCTTCATTGTCAGGCTACATTTCCAGTCCCATCAGTAATGCAGTAATAATTTTGACAACGTATTAACTTGAGAAAATTCCTAGGAGTAAATGTGTTCTTATCAAGCTCTTCTCTATGCCCAGTCTTTTGAGATTTGGATGCTTAGTGGAATCTTTGGCAATGTTTGACATTGAAATTAAGACAAAACGCAGATTCCCATAATGCAAAGGAACCCAGGTGTCGAATGAATGATAGTGATTTCTGAAAGCCTTGGAAATTCAAGGCACCAGAGAGGTAACATTTAAAAAGAAAGAATAATCATTTCTTAATCTTCTTTAGCAGATCTCCATAAAATAGTTTCTTCTTTTCTGATCTTGTGTTTATTTTAATTTCTAACTTTTCATGAGTAACTTTGTTTTTCCTCTCGGTTAAGAAGTTTATAATTTAAAGGGAATATTCTTCAGGTTTCCAACAGGTAAATCTAACGAATTTATATTTTATAATCTCATGGGTAACATCACTGGGGTTTTAATTAACATTTCTATGATTTCTGTAATTTTTTTACTAAGAGACCTAATCCTCTAACTCACTCAAAATCTTTGCAACTCCATGAAATCCCAGAGCACCCAACCTCCCTTATTCTGCTTTACTTAACTACTTAAAGTTCTAATGGGGTCCCTTAAAAATTAAATATATATTGTTACATAAAACTAATAAAATGAAAATGAAAAATTTAAAATAAGGTATCAAAAATACCTACATTACCAAGTTATTATATTAAAATTGATTTCACATAGAATATAATCCACTCACATATAAAGCAATTATCTGTAGGTTTTCTTTAATGCTAGGAATAGCTTAATTCTTTATAAATAAATGTTTCCAAATAAAACAGGGAGAGCAAACAGATACACCTTTAAGCAAATCAGATAGAGGGAAAAAATGAGATGTTACTTATGGAACACAGGAAAAACAATTCAACCAGCATTTTGGTATCTATACACATTTTCAGGAACTTACCTCTTCTGGGCCAACTAGAAACAAACCCCAAGTTTATCAAAGGAAGAAATTCAACTCAACAAAATGCTTTTGAGTTAACTCAAGAGTGACTCCTTAGGCTAATACTGCAATTTCCTACCTTTGTTAAAGGGTCAAAATTCAAAACAAAAATGTCCTTATTTGCTCAGACAACACTAAGGTGGGCCAGGGTATTCCAGTTTTCCAAACTCTCCATCGCTTGCCTCTCCACTCTTCTTTCTTCCCTTTTCCACTCTACCCGGCTAAGCAAGGGACCTTCCGGCAGGCACCCGGAAGAGTTTCTCCTACCACAGATGCAGTAATGTCCCCACCCCATCACACCAGGAGCATGGGGTGGCAGAATAATTCTGGCTCCAGTAGTGGGGATTCAACGACCGAGGGAGCCCAATATAGGTGGAGCTGTCCCAGGAAGTTCAAATGACCTTGAGATCAAGGGGAACGCCGGCAAGGAGGACAAAATCATAGGTGTACCTGTCAGACCAACAACAATGTGACCTGATCATGCAGGCAGATAATAATTGCAAGAAATCCAGAATCTGGTTTACCTGTTAGCTCTTTAGCACCAAGACACATCTAATTACTCCTTCTGGCTCATTGTGATTTACGTTTACCCACATGAACTCACTGAAAGAGCTCAAAGATTCACCTTCACTTAGAAGTTTGAGGCCAAGTCAACCTTGCTGGCTAAAATCATGGTCCAGGAATTAACTAATTGGAGACATGGCTTCTTTGTGGTTGACTCAGCAGGTTTTAGGTTGACCTGTATTTATGTTTAGCCTATGTATTTTTTTTTTTTTTTATCTTTTCTCTATAGAAGAATGTACTTAAACCTTGGAATTTGGGGAGTTAATGTCTTGGTGTGGCTTTTTTTTTTTTTTTTTTTTTTTTTTAAGTAAGCTCTATGCCCAACATGGGGCTTGAATTTATAACCCTGAGATCAAGAGTTGCATGTTCTACTGACTGAGCCAGCTAGGCGCCCCTGGCCACAAGTCTAATCTGAAAACTACTCATGCTTAGGAACAAAATGACTCAGGGTTTGTCTGCTGTGGTGCTTTTGGAACACTACGTACTTGTACTCAGAGAAACTGGCTGGTGTGAGGAACAGAGCAGGTGCTCTTAGTGCCCTGCGGAAGTGGGTACTACTTAGGAAGATAAAGAAGTGATTCTCTCCCCAGTTTTCCAACAAGAAAAAGAAAAAAAGCACTTTCTTAGGTATTCAAGGCTGTCAAGAGTTACAATATTAATGAAGACTGTGACCCTTTCCAGGAACTTGTAATAAACATTTTTAATGTAGGGAAGACTAAACCAACACCAGACATTTGCTGCTTGGGCCAAGCAAACCCTAAAGCAATTATATTTGCATCTTTAAGATGAAAATGTAATTTAAGGGGAATAAAAAGGGAAAGCAAACTGGTGTACGTTGGCCTGGAATAGAGATTTTTATCAATGGTGGTTTTGAGTAAGTTGAGTGCCTGTGGATCGGGGCTGGCTCCCTGGGGGCTGGATTACGGGGGAAAGGGTGTCAAAATAACCACACGTTAGAGGAGGGACCAGAAACAAGTGAAAGGAAGATTTATAGAGATATAACATGCAGCTGAAAGGAGGAGGAAGCCCACATGAAACAAATAGAGGGGAGGGATGGCTTAGTCAGGGCCAAGTGGACTCTGAGCCCCAGATCCAATCATGATGCTGTCCGGCCCCAAAAGCGTAATGACTGCCAGCTTCCTAGAAAATAACTGAATCCTCTTGGGATACCCTGCTTCCAAACCACCTTTCCAGCCAGTAGCCTCCCCCACCTCCCTGCTGTCCCTGCTGAATGCCTGTGCACAAGCTCCCGCAAATGTAGAGGCTGAATAGCCTTTGGACTCTGGTGCCCTGCTCTGCTTTGACGGTCTTGTTTGCTCCCTTTCCCTGTCCTAATCCTTTTACATTTTACGAGGCACTGCTCCGAGAAAGCCCTTTGCCAGAAGCTCTGCCTTGCTTCCCATGTCCAAGGCACGCTGAATTACATACTTCCTCTTACAAGGACTTCCAGCATTTTTCTGCATGACATAGTTCTCCGTGCAGGCATGGACCTTGCTCCATTTGCCCAGAAGATCATGAGCCCTTCCATTGAAGTTATCATAGCTTAATGGTCCCTGTATCCCCAGAGCTTGCCGTAGTGTCTGGCACATTCTAGTCACTCAGAAATGTTTGGTGTCCTTTTTTTTTTTTTAAATTTAATTTATTTATTTGAGAGAGAGAGAGAGCATGCAAGCAGGGGAGGGGCAGAGGGAGAGGGAGAGAGGGAATCCCAAGCATGTTCTGTCCTCAGCGCGGGACTCGACCTCCCAACCCTGAGATCATGACCTGAGCTGAAATCAAGAGTCAGACGCTTAATGGACTGAGCCGCCCAGGTGCCCCATGAAACGCTTGATGTCTTAATGAGGATATCAGCATCCACTGTTGCCAAAAATTAACCCATAAATCGTGACATGTCGAGATGTATAAGGGGCTATGGAATTTTAGGGAATGGGACATGCAATCAGCATTCAGGGGCCCATCTTGAAACTTGAAGCATGTGAGTGGATTAGCAGGAAAGAAATGGGTCTACAAGTTGCCAGAATTTGCCTACACACGGTGGAAGTAGTCATCCTGGCAAGAACACAGAATTATGAAAAACAAACTCTAAATTCCTTGTATGAAATTTACAACAATAACAAGCAATTGCATTTGATCCTTCAAACCACATTTTTTTTGGTGCCCAAACAGGTAGTCTAAGGAACATTAATCTCCTGAGGGGCTCCAAAGAGAGAGCTCCAGGGTCAAAAACAAGTCAGAGCCGCAGTGCCTGACAAGCCTCCTCTTGGGAGCACCACCAATATATACACGGATGGAAGTCTCCAAGTCTGCAGCAGAGAACTCTGTTTAACTTTGTTGAACCTAGTGTTTCTGTTTTTCTTTCTCTATAATACCGACAAAAATACCGTGTCACTTGTACTCTGCAGAACATACTTTGGGAAACACTGTCCTAAGCAGCTTGCATAAGGAATTACTATTTTCCTTTTACCGAGGAGGTAACGGAGACTTAAAATCCTTTTGTTTAGAGCCACACAGATTCTAAGCAGTGGAGCCATCCACTAATGAATTCCACATTGATCAACTGCTGTTAATATATGCCAGGTATTGTGTTAGCACCGGGCGGACAGTTCCAGAAGGCAGGCTGCCTTCCTAATCTCAGGTCACAGAATCCTAGGCTGGTGAGTGCAACCACCTCATTTCCAGAAGAGGAAATGGAGTCTCAGTAAAGGTAAACAACTCCCTAAGGCTTTACAGATTAAAAAGAGGCAGAACTGGAATTCCAAGCCAGGGTTTTGTCCCCATACCCTGGCTTACACAGTGCAACCTCTCACCCTCGTAATACTCACAACCAGATATACTCCCAAAATACACAACCTAATTAGCTTAGAAATCTTTTCAAGACCCTTTTATTTTTCACCTCAACTGGTTCTTGATACGATTCCAGAGCCAGCATAAACCCAGATCAGGATGGTGATGTCTCTGCTCAGAAAATATTAAAGGGAATCAGCACCTTTTTTTTTTTTTTTTTTTGAGAGAAACAGTGAGAGAAGAGTACACATGAGCGGGGGTGGGGAGGGGGGTGCGCAGACAGAGAATCTTAAGCAGGCTCCACACCCAGCGCAGTCCGACGCGGGGCTCGACCTCACAACACTGAGATCACGACCCCAGCCAAAACCAAGAATCAGAGGCCTAAATGACTGAGCCACCCAGGTGCCCCAAGGGACACTGCACTTCTAATCATTTCCCTGGCCTATTTATAAGGGCACTTGAGTTATTTCCATGAGCAATTAAACTTTTTGATTAACTATAAATGATACATTTTCAAAATTGCATTGTGTATTTTTGTTGTAAATTTCTGAATTTAATGTCTCGGATAGCTGTGAATGCTTTTGTTTTTGGAAATTCATGTTGGAAAATGAACTTTTATGAGCCCTGAGTTTTCCTCCAGAGAAGTGGTGCTTCCTTTCTTTTGTCTACAGATCTGATGAATGATATGGATCCTCTGTCCCAGAAAAAAAATGCATGTTAGTACACGGTGTTACCCACCATTTCAGAAGGTTCTCAAACCCCATTAAAACCCCTGCTCTAGGATGTGAAACTGCGTATCTTCCTTGTACTTGTGTATTTCTACTCTTGATGTTTAGGTTACCCAGCAGCTACTTGTGAGCTACAATCATGAAATTAGGAATAGGCAGCAATATAGGCCCCTGAGCCAGGTATAACTAAAATGTACCTTAAAGGGCGCCTGGGTGGCTCAGTTGGTTAAGCGACTCTGCTCGGGTCGTGATCCCGGAGTCCCAGGATCGAATCCCGCGACGGGCTCCCTGCTTGGCGGGGAGTCTGCTTCTCCCTCATGCACTCTCTCTCTCTCATTCTCGCTCTCTCAAATAAATAAATCTTTAAAAAAAAAAAGTACCTTAAAGTTTCCCCTAAAACAGCTACAGCAATCATAAACCAATTAACAGGAACCATAAAGGGGCACCTGGGTGGCTCAGGTCATGATCCCGGGGATCCTGGGATAGAGCCCTGCATGGGTCTCCCTGCTCAGCAGGGAGCCTGTTTCTCCCTCTCCCTCTGCCCCTCCCTACTGCTTGTGCTCTCTCTCTCAAATGAATAAAATCTAAAAAAAAAAAAAAAAAAAAAGAGCAACTATAAGGACAAATCCCTACAATAGATATTTATATGATTCAGCTCTGGTTTATTTAACCACCTTCACTGAGTGGAAAGCAGGGTATGCTTTGTGTCTTCCAGCTCTTCCAAGATCTACTGAGAGGTAACGTAAGGCAGGAATTTAAGAGAAACAAAAGAAAATCTTCAGGGTGCCTGGGTGGCTCAGTTGTTAAGCGTCTGCCTTCAGCTCGGATCGTGATCCCAGGGTCCTGGGATTGAGCCCCACGTCCGGTTCCCTGCTCCACGGGGAGCCTGCTTCTCCCCCTGCTTGTGCTCTTTCTCATGATCTCTGTCACTATCTGTCTCTATCAAATAAATAAATAAAATCTTTGAAAAAAAAAAAGAAAGAAAATCTTCACTAGAGTGCAATTTGGAATGATCTGGAAGTCTTCATTAGAATGAAATCAGGAGTGGTTATAAATCAAGACCGTGGAAATCTCATTTCTTCTGCCGTGCCTTGGAAAATCCAAATTTCTTGTTCCCCAGAATCAGGCAGACTAGCTTGACCTTTCCATTACACGGTACTGGTGATCTCCAGTCAGCCTTCTCAACACCCTTTCCAACAACTTCCAATGAAAACACATCCTTTGAATGCCAAAAAGGGAGCCAGCGGAGGTCAGTTTTAAACAACTAATATTTTCCACCAAATTAAGAGTTAAAAAGTCAAATGCCAAAAAAGAAGGTAAAGAAAATATGAAATGCATTACTTACAAAAGTTCTAGAAGAGCTGCTCTATCCCATAAGAGCACTATCATTTGCACATTCCAGTTACACAATTAATTTAAAACCGTTATTATATTGGGGCGCCTGGGTGGCTCAGTTGTTTAAGCGACTGCCTTTGGCTCGGGTCATGCATGATCCTGGCGCCCCAGGATCGAGTCCTGCATCAGGCTCCCTGCTTCTCCCTCTGACTGCCCCCACCACGCTCTCTCTCTCTCATTCTCTCTCTCTCAGATAAATAAATAAAATCTTCAAAAAAATAAAAATAAAAAATAAAACCATTACTATATAGCAAATAAGACTGTATGGGAATTTGTGCACTGTGCAGAGTCAATCTATTGGCAAATACCTTATCATGGACTTTAATCTACCAGCTAGCTAGGGTGGGTACAACAGAAGCCAAGTCAAATTTTGAAAGAGAAGGGAAGTAGCATTTTCTTTGTTTCAGTCTGTAACTGTTGTGGGGTGGAGGGTGTGGTGTCTGATAGGTAAAAACCCGCTTGAATTCTAGGTCATGGCACCTCCTCTTAAAATTCCTCAGTTGGATGCCCAGCTGAAGCTCTGCAGGAGAGGAATTTACCCAGCTTGGACCTTCACCAATTTCCTTCCAGATTTTAGCAAGTTAAGGCTTCACAGTCAAATGCTGAAGGCAGATTCTTATGTAAGTACATACCTGTGGCAGTTTCATATCATTAATATCCCAGCTTAACATCTCCTTGTCCTCGGAATCAAAGTCTTCAGGCTCCATGACAGTCAGGTCACCCATAGGTTTCTGCCTGTCCAATTTCCCGCAGAAGTGATGGAGAATTTTCCTTTCAAAGGCGTTTCCTACCGTTGGATCAATCCACTCTTGACTCAAGCAGCTTAGACCTGGAGACTGTTTTCTGACACTAAAAAATAAGTGATAGTAATACTGACCGTTAAAGAGATAAAAATCAGTACTTGACTGCCAGAAAAACCTGTTTCATTGACATTTCTGCAAGCACCAACAGACAAAATAAAAACACAATGTATAAGTCATTAGTGATCTTGTGGCAATAAAGCTTGACCATGGGGAATCAGAAGCACCCATGATCCTTGGGTTGGGGCTGCCTTTCTCCCTTCTAGGCCCAGGCTGGAAAAGCTGGAGTAGGGACCATTGTCACCTACAGCCAATGGTTAGAACATTGTCCTCCATATATACTGAGGCAAGAGGGAGAGCTAGCTTGGAGGTGTTTTCATGGATATACCTTTGTACATTAGCTAATATGTGGTTCAAGTTCCAAGTGGGAAACATCACAACCAAATATATCTCGAAGTATTTTTTAAATCTAAATTGCCACAGAGATTAATTTGTATCTCCTCAATAAATCCAGTGTGTACTCTGTATCTTCAAATATTATCAATGGATATCCTCAAATCAGATTCCCTCTAAAACCTTGGCATTACTGACACTTTGGACCTGGTAATTTTTTTTTTTTAAAGATTTTATTAATTTATTTGACAGAGAGAGACACAGCAAGAGAGGGAACACAAGCAGAGGGAGTGGGAGAGGGAGAAGCAGGCTTCCGGCCGAGCGGGGAGCCCGATGCGGGGCTCGATCCCAGAACCCTGGGATCATGACCTCAGCCGAAGGCAGACGCCTAACAACTGAGCCACCCAGGCGCCCCTGGACCCGGTAATTTTTTGCCGTGGGAGCTTATCTTGTGCACTGTAGAACGTTTAGCAGCATCGTTGGTCTCCGACCATTTAAGTGTCAGTAGCAATGCATCCTTTTGTTGTGACAACCAAAAATGTCTCCAGACATGGCCAAATGTCCCCTGGCAGGGGCAAAACTCCTTGAGAACTACTACTTTAGAATAGTATTTCTTCAAGGCAGAGGATCATAGGGGAAGAGAGGAAAAAATGAAACAAGACGAAACCAGAGAGGGAGACAAACCATAAGAGACTCTCAACGTCAGGAAACAAACTGAGGGTTGCTGGAGGGGAGAGGGGTGGGGGGATGGGGTGGCTGGGTGATGGACACTGGGAAGGGTTTGAGCTATGGTGAGTGCTGTGAGTTTTGTAAGACTGATGAATCACAGACCCGTACCCATGAAACAAATAATACATTATATGTTAATAATAAGATAAAATAAAAAATGTTATAAAATAAAAATAGTGTTTCTTGACTTTAACTCAAAGCACCCTTCAAGGCTTTCTAATAGAAATCTCCCTCTTCCCTGCCCCCCGCCCCCCAACTGAAGATTCTTCTATCTCACTTTACTTTGATTAAATTGTATTATGTAAATGATACAGATTCAAAAATGTTTGTGCAGACTGCATTTCTTCCCCCATGAGAAATACCACTCTGGTTTCTAATCATAATTGGTTAAAGGAGATTTACCCAAAAAAAGAAAAGGAAGGGAAAAAGAAGAAAGAAGAAAGAAAGAAGAAAGAAGAAAGAAAGAAAGAAAGAGAAAAAGGAAGGAAAGGAGGAAGAAAAAGAGAGGAAGAAAGGAAATGTTCTACTCCGAGGAAAAAAACTAATCATTTTGCAGATGAAATGTGCTTATTAGTAGAACACAAAGTGACACATGTTTACATGTGTGACATCTCCATTTGCTGGTGGCTCTTGTAAAAACAAGGGACATAATGATGTTACATAAAACAACTTAATAGTAAACTTGAACTATGTGTTTAATAGTCTCCAGCTGAGGAAGTGCCATGGGCCCCATTCCTTAGTTACTTGACTTTATATAAACCCTAATACTTGTCAGTCTCTGAGATCTGAGGGCAAGTATATGAATATAGAAGACGGCTGACCTGAACCAATGGCCATTAGATAACAAGCTAATTAGGGGTCCCTCTGCGCCTTATCCCCCCTACCATACTCACCTACAACCCAGGGGTCAAAGATTCAAAGGGCATGAAGTCCATCACCCTTGTTTCAAACACTGCCATGCAAGGTTAAATCCCCAGGAGTTTTAAATCAAAAATTGCTTGGGAAATAGACATTAAGTTGCTGAAGAAAGGCTCTTACAGACTGACCCGAATTCAGATTTCAATTACAAGTCTATGAGACACAAAGATCGCCTGGGTGGCTCAGATGGTTAGGTGTCTGCCTTTGGCTCAGTTCATGATCCCGGGGTCCTGGGATCGAGCCCCGTATCGGGCTCCCTGCTCAGCGGGGAGCCTGCTTCTCCCCTTCCTTCTGCTTCTCCCCCTGCTCATGTTCTCTCTCTCTCTCTCTGTATCTGGGTCTCAAATGAATAAATAAAAAATTCTTAAAAAAAAAAAGATCGCGTGTCGACCTGATGGCAGCAGCTGGATGCACTTACCTCTTTGAGCGTTAACAACAGTAACTCAGATGGTCTAAAACTTGTTACAGCTAATTGGGACAGAGTGATCTTTTTTTAAAAAAACAAAACCAAAAAAAACAAAAAACCTTGAATAACAAGATTCACATCTCAAAAATTCCCAAGGATTGTTTTAAGCGACATAGACATAATTCTTTTGTTTTTAAATTAAGGGGAGGGGAATAAAAAAAATCTTGCTGCACAAAAGCTACATTGCCCTTTTGGTTTTCTTGGCTATAAATTGTTGCCAAATGAACAAACGTTAATTTAGTATTTCCTGAAAGTTAAGAACAAAACATAGGAAGGACTGCATGCAGCCCTTCGAAAATAAACAACTCAGTTTTCCTCCAGAATCAAAAAACTTAATTTGTAAAGACTTCCCTTTTTTTTTTTTTAAGCAACTCGGGCCAAAATGTATTCAAATTTTATCATTTCCATAGAGAACCAAGTAGAACTGAACCCCTGTAGGAATGGGGTGACTATTAGCATATTCCTTACACTGGCCTCTCCTGGGGATTTCTGGCTTCCTTACCTTCTGACTTCTTATGGAGATGCAGACAATACTGTGTCATAAAAATCTCATCTCTGGTTCAGGTCCCAGCAGGTTCTGGTCATTTTCTACACAGACGCTGCATTTCCCTAATCCAGGTCAAGGTACACTATGCTAATGAGCTCTGGCAAAAGTCCAATCAAAATCTAGATGCTCTCAGCTTGGGATAGGCAAGAGAGCTATCCAAGGAGTCACTTAACCAGCCCAGAATGCCAGCAATGTGAGGGATATTCTATTGTTCACCTCTGAACTTTCCCCTCCTTTATGTTAAGAGGGGATTTTAGGGGCGTCTGGGTGGCTCAGTCAGTTAAGCGTCTGCCTTCAGCTCAGGTCATGATCCCAGGGTCCTGGGATCAAGTCCTGCATCGGACTCCCTGCGCAGTGGGGAGTCTGCTTCTCCCTCTCCCTCTGCCCCTCCCCCCTGCTTATGCTCTCTCTCTCTCACAAATAAATAAATAAAATCTTTAAAAAAAAGGGGGGGTTTTAACTGAAATGGACATTGAAAAAAGAACTTCATGAGGAGGTATAGGTGTTTTCCTGCTCAGAATTTCATAGGTTGAGCCCAAAGCAGATTGATTTAATAGTAGATTCTAATTCTCCTACCACGTACCCCTGCCTGTGTATGAGAGGAGAGGCAGACAGAGGTAGAGAAATACCATGCTGATGGAACCTACTGGAATAGATATTGGATGGCCAACATTCCTAAACCAGAAATACTGTAAAATGCTATTCTACACCTACAATGATGCCCCCACTAATTCTAAGTGTTCCAATCCCCTCAAATAATACCATCCTCCCAAGTCAGTTCAGTCCACATGCTATATTCCAGGCTGTCTGATAGGCTCTGGAGATCTAAGGGGGAATTAAAGCATTAAGTTTTGGGTCATGTGGGTGGCTCAGGCATTAAGCGTCTGCCTTCGGCTCAGGTCATGGTCCCGGGGTCCTGGGATCGAGCCCCGCATCGGGCTCCCTGCTCAGAGGAAAGCCTGCTTCTCCCTCTCCCACTCCCCCTGCTTGGGTTCCCTCTCTCGCTGTGTCTCTCTGTCAAATAAATAAATAAAACCTTAAAAAAAAAAGCATTAAGTTTCGTAGCGGAAAAGATGAACAAAGACACTAAATAAGCCAAAGATAACTTAATGCATGGAACCGAAGCAAGTCTGGAAGGAATGTGGAAGGGAAGGTATGAAGCTGGCGGGAAGATAATATAGGGAAACTTCTTTCACCATCGTGATGTGCATCGTGATGCCCCATCAGCCTCTTAACAGACTGATGGATATTTGTCAAGGCATCAAAGAATGGAAGAGGGTGTTTCAGGTAGTGGCAATATTGCGGCCAAAGGTAAAGTAGTGTGAAAGGTGTGGTGCGCTCATCATTAGGAGAAGTAGGCGCCCGTCAGGAAGGCCCTGGCCGTGGAAGACAGGCTGCAGAGAAAGGGATGCGCAGCAGGTCCGGGGCAAAGCCTTGGGAAGACTCATGGCTCTGTCAGGCAGTTGCTGAACCATCTTTGGCAATGTTGAGAAGATTTCTTACTAGTCTTAGAGTTCGTGACTGAATTTCTTTTCTGCCTAGAGGTTGAGACCCTGAAAAAATGTTCTGGTGCTTTATCTGACTAATCTTGATCTGCTCCTTGTAGTCCCTCCTTGGCACGGAGTTCTTTCAACATCCCCAGACATGCTGTGGCAGGACAAAGCCAAGTACTGTGCCAACTGGCAAGAGAGAAAGGTCTACATGGTCCAGCTCCAGAATCACAAAGCAGGGCCAAAAATGGATCTCAGACCCGAGAGGAAATAAGCTGGTAACTGGCACGGAACACCCGTCATGATTATCCACTCACTTAGGCCTCCTCTCTAGCGTGTCTTCTCCCATCCATGTCTAAATCCT